ATATTAGATAAATATTAATTATAGTAGACTGCTGGACCAGTTCTAATTAAAAAATATTTTTTACTTTAACTGGATATTTTTTAATAGAAAATATAAATTATTATAAAGTTCTATTAGACTTCCGACCGGTATCTGGATCTTATATTAATAAAAATCTAACTATAATTATTTTATTAGTTTTATATAACTATAATCTATTTTATTACTTATTAAGTATAATAACTAATAATACTAGTAATAATAGTTTAATATTTAGTATAATCTTATCTAAACTTCGGATTTAGTTTAGCTAGAGTATTTAGCTTTATAATATTTTACTTTACTCCGATTTTATAATAATTATTTAAAGCTAGTATTATATATTCTGTTTTATTTATATAATTTAGTTTATAATTAATATTTTTTTATAAAAACTTCGGATTAAAATCTTAAACAGTATTATTAAATATATATAAAAAATTTATAATAAAAGTCTGAAAGTCTTTTCTAGTATTTTAAAAACTTTTAAAAAAATATATTCTAAAAATTATCTATAAAAAACTAATATAAAAAGCTTCTACTGTTTATAATAAAAATTATTTAGATTAGTTTTTTATAAACGGATTCTAAAGATTTTCTTTTAATAATAGCTAATTTATTAATTCTTAATTATAGATTTAAAAAATTATATAATTTGTAAATATAAGTCTTTAATATTATAAAAAATTTTAGTTTACTTAACAATTTAAATTAGGCTTAGTCTATTATTTTTTTTAACTATAAAACTTACTGAAACTTAATCTATTTTATAATTTATTAAATATTTAATTTTTGTTAAGTAATTAAGAGTTTTATTTAATACTATAATTATAATAATATTAATTATTTTTATTCTACTATAACTAAGTAGAAACAAATAAAGTATTTTTTTAAGTTTTTATATTTCTTTTTTTTATATTCTGTTTATCTAAAAACAGTGGGCCTACTATTTATAAGATTTATAATATTTATAATAATTTTTTTAATTATTTAAATTACTTAATTAATTAACTGGTAAGAAAGCAGATATTCTAAAAAAAAAGATTTTTAAAAATTTATAAAATATATATTAAAAGCTTTAAAAATATTATTATTATATTTATTAGATAGAAGATTATATTTATATAATTATTACTATTCTAAATCCGATATTAAAACTTAAGAAGTTTAAAAAAATATTTAATTAAATAATAATACTAACTAGTATTATAAGTATCGAACTGTTTTTAAAAAAATATTCTATTTTTATTATAGTTAGAATCCAGCTATTAATATATTATTAATTATCTTCGGATTATTATTAGATCTGAATAAAGTTTTTTATAATATTTTTAAATATTAGAAACTCTTACCAGCAGCTGAAATATTTAAAAAACTTAAAATATATTTAGATATTAAAAATATATAGCTTATAAAAATATTTTTAATTAAACTAATATTATTTTAAATATTATAAAATATATTAATATTTTTATCTACTAGAAGTTCTACTATAATTAATTTTTTATTTTTTACTAGATAACTAAAGATTTTCTTTTAATTATCACTAATAGTATTAGTATTAAATATTTATTTAATAGTTTTTAAAATATCTATTATTATCGCCGGAGCCGTCTTTATACTAATATATTTAAAATAGTAATATTTTAGATATATATTAATTCTTTTATTATTAATAAAAAATACCAGAATATTCTTAATAATTTTAATCCGGATTTAATTATCTTTATATTTACGAAGTAAGAGAAGAATAAGATAATTACTATTTTTTATATTAATAAAAATAAGAATATAAATAATCTTAAAGATAATCTAAATAATAAATTATTATTAAAAATAAAAAAGCTAGTTTTATCTGAATTTTTAAATATTATATATACTTAAATAAAGATAAAAACCCGGTTTTTTTAATTTTTCTGCTATTATAATTACTATTCTAAATAATATAAAAAATAATATAATCTTATTAGTTTATTTAATATTAGATATTATTTTTTCTATACTAGATTTTATAAAAATTTTTTTTAAAATATAATATACTTCTTAGTTTTACAGAGAAAGAGGTCGATTAGATTAAATAAATTAAACAGATTAAATAGATTAAATAAATTAAATAGATTAAATAGATTAAATATATAAGTCGAAAGAATTAGAGCTGTATTATAATATTAAATAAATAAACTAAATCTAAAAAATATTATTATATTATAATTAAAAATATATTATACTTTATATATTATTTATATAAAAAAAATATATATATTACTAATTAATTTATAGTTATTAATTTATTTATTATATCTAATTTTTCTAACCGGCAGATATAAATAGTTAAAATAATAGTTATATCTTAATCTAATTATAATTGTATAGTTAAAATTTTTTTATATTTTAATCTAACTGCCAGGTTATGGTCAGGTTAAGGTTAAGGTATAACAGTCAGGTTAATCCACTCTACTCTAAGACTATTTAGAATCCGAATAAGCTCTGTAAATAACTAAAGCCTGTACCAAAATCTACTTTAAACTTAATATTTTACAAGTATATTATATACACACTTCTGTTATAATATAAGTTTGCAAAAAAAAATAGTTAAATAATAAAGAAATTCTATAGATTCTAGACATATAAAAATATCTTATTATTAAAAGTCTGCGTTAAATTCTTAAGCCTATTTAGACCTACTAGAAAAAAATATAGTCTATAGTTTGCTTTTTATTAGTATTTCTACTTTATAATTTAATATAAAGACCGCAGTAAGATATATCAGCAATCTTAAAGCCGATTTTATTTCGAATTTTTTTACTAATAGAATAAAATATTTTTTATTTTATTTGAACTACGCTGTGCTCTCTAATAATTCAGACAGATTCGGATTATATTCTAAAAAAGGCCGAAAAACAAGCTATTTAATTAATTTAATTATTTAGTATCTAGAAAATAATCTTTTTAAAAAAACAGTACAAATACTTAGTATAAAGCAGTTTATAAATATTAATAAAAAAAACTCTATTTATAACAGCTCGCAAGTATACTTAATTTTAGTTTTCTTTTAGCTACCGACGCTGCTGTAATTAAAAAATTATAAGTAAACTATCTAATTAATATCTTAACTGCTAATACAAGTCTTAGAATAATTTATATTTTTATTAACAGTTAAATAAATTCTTTTATTACTTATACTTTTTATACCCGCCCTGTAATACTGGAATATTTCTATTTTTTAAAATCAGTATTCAGAAATTTAGTTTTCGAAAAAAAAATACTTAATACTACAGAAATAAATATTTAGAATTTATTAATTCAGCTATAGTATAGCTCGCAGCTTAATCTAATACAGTTACAACTAGCCGAAATACAAGAAGATAAGACGTAATATAATAACTAATATTCTGGCTATTCTTAGATAGTGCTTAACTCTAAGAAACAAATTTTACTAAAAGCAAAAAAGCTTCTTGAAAAGTATTATAAAGTATAAACAGGTTTTGCTTACTATAATTAACCTAGTTCCATAGAAAGACTTAATAGGTACGGTATACATACATACTATTAAGACTCTTATTTACTTAAGAAAATATTTGTTATTCTGTATCTTTCTCCCGTCCGAGATCCGTAAAAGGCTATCTCGCTGGGCTTACGACTTTTAAGGCCCCGTATAAGATATAATCTATTTCTGTATTTCTTCTTGCTTAATGTCGCCGTACTAGTAAACTTGACTTTATCTAAATAAATTTTCTAAATTATATCTGCTCTCTAATAACCTTTCCTTTACCAACTATTTATGTATACTCTGGTATAGCAGTCAATTAGCAACTTGCGTGCTAGAGAGCACCCGTTGCCCACTAAATAAGTAGCCTGCTGTAAATATACTGGCATCTGCTAATATCTACAATAGCTTTTAATACTGTAGAGATAGTAGAAATAAAATATTTATAAATACTGACTGCATATTCTACGTACCACAAAGTTTTACACGTCGTGGTTTTCCGCCGGGCTCTTACTCCGCGCGAAAATAATACAGCGCGTAATATTCTGCCTACTATAAAAAGTTGCGGGAACGTTCGATATTCCGTTTAATCGATTAGTATTTGAGAGAGATTAGTAAAAAGATAAGAAGAAATATTTAATAATATAATTCGGGTACGCGCCTATGCCGATGAGACAAAAAGGCGCCCATCCGGTACCGTACCTTAATAGACGAGCACTTTAGATTAGTAGAATATAAAGCTGAACCATGCCAGAAGATTCCAGAATCCATATCTTATATATTTGCTATGCTTAAAAGGCTCCTACCCCCCGGTATTCTTAATTTTAACTAACGATACAAATTGCCAGCTATTTATACAGAAAGTATTCACGGTTTAACTCTATATTTAACAGCTGAAATACTAAGTTTCTAAGAAATATTAGTTAATAGTAATATTAGATTTGAATCTAGTTGTTTTATACTCTTTCGTCTTCTATATACTGACTAAATAGTTGTACCGAAGCTTTGCCGAGTATCCAGAAAGAGAATCATTATCGTTCCGCTGGTAAACATATAGCCTATTCTCAAAGTACACGACGAAGTGATGGGGTGAGACACAAAAGTTGCTGACTAATACAACCATGGTATGTGGGTGGAAACCAGGCCCGGCGGCGACATACAGGTAGTAACACAACTTCTGGAGACCACAAGAAGTATTAGATGATAAGAATCGATATACTAATAGTGACAATACTTGGAATTGCCTGGATGTCTTTATACCCTCCCACCGCAGCGCAGGTTAGTTTGAACTCGGTCATTCTCAGATGTAAGCATTGGCCATCTATCCTAGCCCGAATACAAGCAGCAAGCCAAATGGCACGAGTACAGCACAATCAGTTTATTGGCCCTATATTAAACAGCAACCCATTCATTCGAATGAAAACACCAACGAACAACACCGGTAAGATATCCCCTTGTCTGCACCCCATCTGCCAAGTTGCTAGAGATTCAATCTCTACTTATGCTCTCCAACGGACCGGAGCGTATCTGATCAATGCAACATCAATACCATGAAATTAAGCATCTCAGACCTCACTGCAACCAAAGGGCTTTCGGTTTGTACACAGAGGGAGGGAAGCATACCAGATCTCCTTTCCTGAGCAGGCTGCCGCCAATAAATTCGACGAATCGTAATCCAATCCAACCCCAGCACGATAACCATTCCCAGACACCGGGTCACCGCCGCCTCAGTCCACCCATCATCATTCCGGTAGCAAGCGAACCAGGCCACTGTCAGGATCCGAGTGAGATGGATGGTGATTAAGCCGGCCAGCTCGAATGCGATCTCGGTGCGCCGCGGGCTGAGAAGATAGATCTGGACCCACAACAGGGCCACGGCACCCCCGCCGTCGTACAGGCTATACCAGAAAGGGGTCCATGCAGGTGAGGGCGTCAAGAATGTGAGAATTGCCTCCAGATTTGCCAGAGAGGCGAGTGAGGGAGGCAGCAGCAGCGGTGAGGTGACCATTGAGATGTCGTACAGGTCGGAGGGAATTTTCTGGGTGCGCTTGGTTGAGTAGTAAGGATCTGGGTGGTGGGTTGAGGGATAGGTTCTCATTTGAATAATAAAACAAGCCTCTGGGAGCAACAAAGTTGAGTGTAGGTGGACCCGGGGAGGGGAGGAAAAGGAGCCAGGTCTGAAACTTGGCAAATCAGCTGGTTGACCTCACAGCTCTGTTCGGCTATGATAGATCTTCTCGGCTCCGTACGAACTCTACCAGTATTGTGTGATACGTGCAATGAATACGGGGATATGGCTATTACTCCAGCTTCTAGGATCGGATAGAAATCGACGCTCGTTGCATTATCTTCATGTTATATACAATTAGGCATCATTGGCTACAGCTTTAGATGATAGAGATTAAGGGTCTGGGGGGCATTGGCACTTGATTTCATGCCGTTAAAGCCCTAACGTATGCCTTCGGTTGAGCACGTATTACTTCGTGCTTACGCTAGAAGGGCCATCTCGACTAGTGATTGTCGGCTAATATTAGGGAGTACTTCAACTAGCATTGTCGTACAGACGCTAACCTGTCAGTTTCTGAAACCTACCCTGTAGAATTCTCCTTGGTTGCTAAAATATATCACATTGCATCGGCTTGCGATCTCCACTCAGCTTCAACCATAGGGCTGGCACTGCTTGGTATTGATTATAGAAGCAGAGTCTGCCCAAAACGGACTATAAATTCGACACCCCGATGCCCTCTTCCTGCCTCTCTACCTCTCATGACCTATTTTATCACCGTCATCCTCAATATCCTACCCGTGCATATCCTGCAAGATGAAATTCCACCCCTACGGCACATTGTGCATCTGCACCGTACTGAGCGATGTCAGCTCCGCCATCGACATCCCGAAAGCATGGACCCTGGTCGGCACCATCGGGGCGAGCGTGCTAACAACCAAGTACGGCACGCCCGGCAATGGGGTGATTGTGTCCGCCGGCCTGGGAACCATCCATCTGATTGATACGATCCGCGAATGCGTCCCCGCCGGGAAATCTGGTGACACTGAAGATGCCATGACCTGCGCGGAGTCGGTGGTCTCGGCGGCCGTTCAGTTCGGTATGGCTGTCAATAACTACCAGCAGGTCGGCTATTGGACCTCCAAACGCGAGCAGGGAGGGCACGAGGATTTTGCCTACCTTGACGACTACTTCCGTCAGCTGGGCGACGGCGTCGTGATCTCGGATGTCTACTACGAAGGGATCCCGCTGAACGGAACGCACCTGCCGCAGACGGTGGTGCGCCGGGGTGAAGAGGGGGAGGCGGCGGCGGTAACGATCCGGGCTCTGCACAACGCCAGTATGCCGCTTAGCTTCGTCTATCAGAACACGCGCGCGAACCATGTGCCGCTCCTGGTGGCCACTAACGGCTCCCACTACCATATCGGTCATCTGGCCCCCGTCGGCAGCAGCAGCTCGTCATTCCAACGCCGCGGAGCTATTGACACGGCCTTTACTCATGTCGGCAGCGGCGGCGTCAAGGTGCAGTGCAATTCAAGGGGAGCCGTGATGACGGTAGAGCAGGCGCAGGTGTTTCTGGATTCGCCGAGCTCCGGATCCAGTAGCAGCTCAGCGGCCATGACTCTCTTTCTTAACCTTGTCAACTACGCTACCTTCGCGGGATTCTCCTTTAACGAGTGGGTGAATGGAGATTTAAGTGGCCAGTGGGCCATGGAAGCGGAGGTCAATGGGTTTGGAACTAACTGGGAGACAAACTGGAACTGGTGCTTTGGAGTGGAGCAGGCGAGCTGTGATAAGGAACTGTAAGAGGTGGTGCCATGCATATACGTACTGTTATTTATCAGTTATAAAACAGAAGTTGATGCGAACATGTCTAAGATTGCATCATGCTCCTAATTCATGACAATTGATTATACTTGGATGGTAGAAGATATTGAACCAAATCATTCAATTATTGCTATTGAGTTTATACAGTACTGTCCGCCTCGAAAATTGCTCTGCATTCAAGAAGTCCTATTTCTTATTTATATGTCCGGGCTAGTAATCCTTTCTTTGCTGTCTGACTCTGAGTACCAAAACGTGCTTGGTCCTACGTTGCGAATATCGCAGTCGAGAATTTTATCAATATTAGGGAGCTTACTGACGAGCCGACAGGTGTACATATACATAGAAACAAAGCCGTAGAAATACACATATGCAATGAAACCCATATAACATTGTAAGCCATGGTAGTAAAAGCAAATAGCACGAGAACATGTCCCTCATTTTTTCCCTTACTTTGAAGAAAAGCTAGCAGCCAAAAGCACTTTGCGGGAAGGCACATATTAGGACTTTCCAGACTTTTTTGTGACGAGAACTCAAAACTTAATCGACATCCTAAAACATTCTGACAGCGGCGGGCCTGTGGACGAACGCAAGAATGCTTTTGTTCCTGCCAGTAATCATGCTGACAATTCTGTTCCAAAGCAAAGCTGTGAGACTCAGCCTGATACAATAAAAAGATGAATGTGGGATCTGACCTTATAAACAGTATTAGGCCTTCTTGCACTTGCCGCATTCCCGAAGGGCGTGCCCCACATTGGATTTAATCTGTCCGCTATTTCCAGTACACAAGTGTGGGCTTCTATGCACTGGTTTCGTGACGGTAATTGCTATAACACCAGCTTGCCAGAAGGCTTAAGCTTGAAAGGGTAATTTTATATGTTTGTCTATCTTATAGCTAGACCTTATTTTTCGGTCGGCCCTAATGTGGCTATGTCCCTCACAAGACGAACTTTACAGAGGCATTATGTAAAATATCCTTGATAAATAATTTCTGTGCCTGATTTGTACTAGGAGGTTTGTGCCTATAACAATACTATTATAGAATCTTCTTTAAAACACGCGGACTAAAATCTTCTGTGTATGTTATGAGACTATATAGATATATTTGCTTAGTATTCTAGCTGCTGTAAAATGCTGCAGTATTTCAAAGTAACTGGGGGGTAAAAGTTTTCAGGTGTCTAGGTAAATGGAGATACAGTATATCTGTAGACAATAAGGTGGAAACTTTAAGCAATACTGTAAAGGATCCCATCTAGATTACAGCCTAAATCTGAATTATTCTGTTTGTACTAACTAATTTATATACAAGTTTTGAGAGCTTTGTTATTAACCTCTTTCTTAACCTTTAGCTACTCTCATTAGAATAGAATCATGTCTCTATTGAAAAATGAGTTTTATATTCAATTAAATTAGCAGCAGCAATACCTTTCTTTTATGCCTGAGAGTGGCTGAAAAGATAACATCGCTTTTAATAGAGCTGACTCTCTCTCCAGGAATAATCAAGTCGCCAAACTCAGACAATCCCAAGACAATACTCTCGATCAAAAAAAAAAAAAAGGAAAAGGAAAACCAGTTTAGGTATTAGCTTCGATTGCGGTCCAGACGGCATCGCGGAAGGCAAACATCCCGTCGGAGCGTGGATGGAAGGTCTTGATTTGGCGAGTCGGTAACCACCATTTGATAGCGGTGCTGCTGTAGTTCCTACTGGAAATGTCGGTATTGGCCTGTGCGAGAAGCTGAGCTACTTTGCCATTCGGATCCATGGAAACAGAAAGGGACGCGTCACACATCACCACAGCATAAGGATCGGGGTCGGTTCCCAGGGTGGTATTGCAGGTCACAGCGTCGGGGATGGGAATGCTGCCCAAAGACATCATCTGAACCACCTCGGCCGCTTCAACGGCGGCAGTCTCGGCCTCAACAGTGACCTACATTATACATATTAGCTGTCATGATCAGTCCATCATGCGAAAGGAGAGGAAGGGGTGCGGACCAGCTCGTCGTGCTCGTGTGGATAATCATCCCACCCACTGAGGAAGAAAAACGTCTCTCCCCGATTCGGACTGGGTTCATAGACACCTTCTTCACAAAACCGATGCGTGTCGAAGGAGGGCTGCATATTGACGTATGTCACGCCAGTAGAGCCATATGCCGAGTTTGCATCTTTGATTGCCTGCTGGATCACTTGATTCATCTGGTCCACTAGGTCGTCCAATTCTTTTCGCACGGCAGTTTGGAGGAAGGCCACATCATCCCATATTGGGAGAAGAGGCTTATATGACGGCCACCAGTAGTTGAACGTGGAGAGGTCACAGATGGTGGTGTCGTAATTGAAGAAACCGACATAACCAGTGACATAGAGCATGAAGTCATCATTGAGGGAGGCGCTGAGAATACTGAGGTAAGCTTCCTTGAGCTTGTTTCTCATTCCGGATGAGCTCGTATCGCTTAGAATGGACCTAGCCTTGTCCTTTACTTCCTCACACCGGGCTTGGAACATCGCCGTATAGCCCCAGGGTAACTCCCAGGTTATGCAGTTGCGGATAATATCACTAAATCCCACGTCATTTCCTCCCAATGTTAATGTGGCGAGATTAAATGAGGAGGTGTCTTTCCACTTTTTGACTTGGTTAGCTAGTCCGGTCGTGGTGTCTCCCGAGCACGCATAATTCGCAAAAGGTATGCTGGAATCATTCAGATAGTTGTAGAGAAGTTTCCCGTAATTGTTGGAGCCAACACGACACTCATCCCACGAGGTCGATCCCGTGCCCATGCCAGCCGCGAAGGAATCCCCAAAGTGTACATATCCCTTGACGCTCACCGGCTGTTCATCCTCGTCCCAGATGAAGTAGTCATCGTATGCGGGGCAGTTTGTATCTCTTCTCCTGGTGGTCGAAATCGGCACGGTTATGTCTCCGTCTTCATCGCTCGTAACCGACACTACTGGGACGTCGTTGCTAATTTCAATTGCGCGTTGGCACTGCGCACTGAAGTAGACGCCGCTCGCGACGCTTTGCCATGACTCGGCATTCCATGCACTTCGATCTGCATCGCATACACTCTCCTTCCCGTCGGTGTTAGGACAGAGAATGACACTTGGCTTACTCCGGTACCAAGCTGTACATGAACGATCTAGTCTCCCTTGGGCCAATTCAGTGCAGCCAAGGATTCCATATGCGTAGTCTTTTGACCTAAAACATGGTAAGGGAACGAGGCGTAGGGCAGGTGAAAAGGATAGCAGATACATACTTTTCGCCCCCATTCACTCCATTCATAACGAAAGACGTATGGGTGAGTTCGTGGATAATAGTAGCAGCGCGGCTGCGGTTGACCTTCCGAAGATTCAAGGTAGGGCAGTGCTGGAGACGGTCATCGGTGGCAAGGATGACATTTCCGTTACTATCTGGATCATTCGAGTTCGCAAAGAACCCAGCACAAAAGTTCAAGCTCCTCGCCGAGTCCTTGGTATGAGCAACACTTCTATAACACTCTGGATGTGCAAAATTGCAGGTGAGCTTGAGGCCATAAGGAGCCGTGCCATCGAGGACGGCCGCCACGCGTCGGTAAACTGCCTCCGCGTGCGCGGGAAAGTCAGCAGTGCGGACTTTCTCGGCAAAGAAGTGGGTATAGTAATCTCCATTCTGGAAATTCTCGGCAGCATAGCTGGCGATGGTGATGGCGTGGTTGATCTCAGTCTGGATCATGGCCTTCTGGGCGTCGCTGCAGGAGGTATCCGGGTAGAAGGCCGCGGCCCGGGCGCAGGCGCCTTCGGGGCAATAGCCACGCAGGCAAGCGAAATTGCACAGATCGGAGTCATCTCCAATCAAGGAGACGCCAGTGGTATTGACCACGACGGGAGATGGAGCCAGCGCCCCCGTTTTGGTACATGTACAATGATTCTCAGGGCAGAATCCAAAAGCACAAGCGTAGCTACACAAGCCTGCGAAGCTGCCCTCGCCCATTCCTGCCACGCAAGCGTTCGGGGTGAACGGAGAGACCGTGGGGATATATGAGGCTTGGAGAGTAGCTGCACAGTACTTGGAGGGACAGAATCCCAAGTTACAGGCAAATGTGCAGAGCCCGGCGTAGTTTGCGTCGCCATTCGCCGGATAGCCAACCTGGCCAGTGGCGTTGGGTAGGGTCTGGATGACGCCTAGGTTTGTACACACACAAGCGCCTACGGGACACTGGCAAGTGATCCAAGTCAGCTCATGGCAAGAAAGGAAAGGAAAGCCTGAAGATAAAAAGAGGGGTCCTTCTCACATATCCCCAAGCGCAAGTAAACTCGCACAGCTCAGTGAACGCATCCGCACTGTACCCAGCAATGCAACTCAACTCAGTGAGATTAAAAGTTGCATAGACGTGTTCAACTTCAATGGCTTCGCTCGCCGCCACATAAGCATTAAAGTTGGTCCTGCCCTGGTTACAATTGTCCGCGGAAATACTCTGACCTGACGACAGAGTCAGTTTGGTAACTGAGTCGCGGACAATTCTCAGGTTCACTTCTGCTGCATGTTCCAAAGACACGCTTCCATGGTATAGACCTGGGCCTCCAAAGCCCTTCGGTCCCGGAGGCAGGAAGTCCCAGCCCGCTGTGACAGTACTGCTAGGATTATTATACTCCACGACAACATCTGCATTGCTAGCCAGCAAGGCAGTAAAGAAGAGGCGGTCCTGGGCTACCTCATTGGGCAAAAACTCAGCCTGTAACTGCGAGGCTGTGTTCGCAGTTGTATCATCTCGATCACAGTCATCCACCAAGGACGTGCGGTGCCACATCACGATCTTCTCTTCAGTCACGAGCGCGCGACCATTCTTGTAGGTATCAATCATGAAGGGCAATAGCTCACGCCATCCGTCATGGGGCATATGCTCAACGTAATTGAAAGGAGCCCTACCTGTGGTAAAAGGGCTATACGACCGATTATCCAAGGGCCCAATATAATGTGACTCCCCGAAATCATTCCAGCTGATGATTTCGACAAATTCGGGCTGTAGATACCAGATTTGAACCCAACGTTGATACCAAGTATCATCTCCTCGCCACATCCAATTTTTGTCGTACCCCGGCATGTTAGTATAGAACCAGGGAGAGACAGGCATCATATAGGGCTTTGAGCTGCTGTTCAATGTCTCTATATAAGATGCATCCACGAACGTCGTCATGTTGAGATTGCCCCAGGGCCACGAAGCCCAGCCTATCAAGACCCTGTCAGTGTGTTTGCAAAAGAGGCCAGGAGCCCTACATACTGAATAGTCCGTCCACAACACCATCAGCCTCCTCTGATGCCGGGATAGCACCTACTGAAGACCAGTCCGGGACAAAAAAGCAGCCAGTCTCATCCCTGATATTGGCCCAATCCGCGGCACTGTCGGGCCCCTCGAAAGTGGACACGAGGGGTGCTCCGTTCTTCTCTGTGGTATAATACCCTCCATGAAGCTTATACTTTTTGATCAGGGAAATAACATCAGCCTCCGCCCATGAGCCATTTCCTGCGTAGTCAAAAGAAAAGAAGAGCTTAAAGCCATCAGTAGCCGCGGCTTCGAAGGCCACAGCAAGTGTGTCTTCGTTGGCAAACCATCCATTAGCGATATTCAAAGCGAAGGCATCGATATGTGCCGCCTGCGCAAGTTGGATGTCGTGCCGCCAATCGTCTACTGTCCAAGCTGGAACATTTCCGACCTAATACAAAGAGCTCGTCTGGTCAGTTATGTCACAATCGGGACTGGTATGTCTCTTACTGACCATGAAATGAGCGAAGACCGCGGCAGCGTGTACATGGGAGGTGGTGAGCCATAAGGCCAGAGCAAGAAGAAATGTCGGCCGCATAGCGAGACATGAACTAAACAAGTGTAACATCACACTCGGGCCAGAATGCGGAAAAGAGAGAGGGAGAAAAGGAAAGAAAACAAAAGAAAGAAAGGTAAAAACGAGACTGTAAATGAGTGATGGTTTGGAGGATCCTGGCTACCAGTAAGACATGATCTCCAGCATGAGAGTACGTAGGATGTAAAGGAAGGTCAGTGGCACTGCTCTGTCTCTCTGGAATAATATTCAGGATTCAGTCTCGGTGGGCAATCCAAATTTATATTTCAGTACCTTGTTCCATCTCTGCTGTTATTCCAGCATCTTAGCACCTAATTTCATTCAATGTTCAGTACTCTAAAATAACGGATAGACCATCAAAAACTAGAGCCGAATTATAGATCTGAATGCCAAGAAGACGCTTTGAGGGAAAGCAAGAATACACTAAGCAATCTTACGAGTAGTTTAGTATTCTGCCTAACAGATCGTTAGTCGAATTCTTAGTTACTGCGCTAAGGTTTAGATCATGCGGCCTACTGGAGTGGTGACTCTCGCCCTACTTACCGGAGACATAGCCTCCTCCCTGGGTATTATGGCGGACCTAGCGGTGCATTGGCGGGCTACTTACTCGCACCAATAGTCGCGAAGCTTAGCGTCGGCGGAGCCGAGTTGCGTACCTGCGGAAATTACAAAGTGCTCCATTCAACTATTAGTACTCTCACTAAAGCCCATAGAAGATATCATGTTGCTTGGCGGGTAGAACGAAAGCTCGTCACGAGATAGTGAACCGGTTCAAGGGTCCTGTTATTGTAATAGCAGTAATCTACGGAGTAGTTAGGAATCGTAGCAGTGAGGGACGTCCCCGGACAACGAAACACCATTCAGTCGCTACTCATCGTCCACTCCACAACATTAGAAGCTGGTATGACGACTTTTGGTCGGTTGTTATTGTCCTTCGGGTGCGAAATTGGCTCGATCCCCGAGCCAGGTAGCGTGACAATGGTTTGCGCGTGATCCTCGGCCGTACCCCAATCCCACCAGTCCAGAGTATTTCCTTTGAATTGGTATCGGAGCTGCTCGCCAGGCTGAAGGTCGTCGGGCAGATCGAAAGACCAAGAATTGTACCAGGATTCCCCGGGATAGAGCGTCACAAACCGACCTTCTTCGCTTTCCGCCACGTTGAGCTCTCTGTCAGGGTTATCCCAAAACACATGTGGTAACCGATCGTTCTCGAATCTCTCCCATTCGTTCTCAGTCTTCAGGTCAGACTGATTGGGACAGAGACGGCGATAGACGCGAAAGGCGTCGAACGGGTTAAACGCCCAGGTGTGGAAAGTGATCGGTTGAGAGCTCTCATTGTCGGATGATGGACTGTGGTATATGACCCGCGTAGATATGTTCAAATCCCCGTAAACAGACATTGTAGAGCTGCAGCTCAACTCCAGACTTAGGACTGGTGCACCAGGCCTGTCTTGAAATTAGCCGTTGAATATCTTTCTGAATACCTTTCTATTGGAGTTGGAGAGCTTACACCCTATTACTTGGACTGATTGGTGGTGGTGTCGGAGGGGAGGGAATTTGCGGTTTCCTCCCTTCTCGCACAGTGAAGGTGAGATGTGCGCCGCCCGGAACTAAAATTGGGGGCCATTTTTTTTCGGTTTCCTTCTTCTGCTGTGGCGTACCCCAATCCCAGTATGTAATCTCTTTGCCCGTCCAGAGAAGGGTATAGGTGCGCCCCGGTTCTACAAGCCTAGCCCAGGTCTCAGGTAAGCTCGTTCGCATACTTATTGTACTGCGGTCCCAGGTTTTCTTAGCCTCTTCAACATAGAATGATGCCGGTTCATCAGGGAACTGATGAATTGTTGGTAACAATGGTAAATATCTCGAGTGATCTTCAATTCCGACCTTCTCGATATTGCCGCTGTCTGGATCGTGAGATATTAGAATATATTCTTCCTTACGGGGATCTATGGAAGATTCCCAGCGAAACCAGAACTGTTGATCGTCTAAGACCCTGCGCAAAGTGATCGTGAATGAGTAGGTTGGTATTTTGCCCTCTGTCCAGAGTGTCGGGCTACCATCTAACTCGAGAACTAATGGTGGGGTGTCGGGCCTGTGCAAAACGCTTCTTAGCACCGGCGGTGTCTTCACAATAGTCGTAATAAACGTACAGCCTATTGTTTTCCTTCCATCTTATGTACGTATCCATTTGGAATCAACCTCGGTTATTTTCGAAATCGAAGGCGGAAGAGTTTGGGCTAAAAAGTAGGGGGTTCAACTCTTGAGCTGCAGGGAATTGTCTGTGACTTAAGTAGTACAAGGGTGAGCGGGGGGGGGGGACCATTGGCCCATTTTGATGGGGTGCGAGAGCCCGTGCGGAGGGCAGCAGAACAGCCTTATATGGCAGGCGGTAAGGTTGTAAACGGTTACTACAAAACCCCACCTTACTGACAGCTTACGCTCACTTTCCACTATCCACCAATAGGGTGACTCATTCGCGGATATAGATGGATCAGTACCTTACTAGGTAGGTACTCCGTAGCTCGTGCTTTTGTATGCTAGAGAGATTTCCCCTCCCTCCCCCTGATTCTGCCGCGCGTGCAGCGCCCCCCTTCCTTCCCTCAACAATTTGACTAAAGGACTCACAATTCCCCTCTACTTAAATCACTCAAATCTTCGAATAAATGTTTCATCCCCAGAGCTCCTCTTTGTTTGCTCCAAGGAAAAGTGGGGAGAACACTTGAGAACAATGTTCCGTTCCTGCCCTAACTTGCTTCGCGTGTAAGTATCAGACCATGCGGCTACTGTAACCCTACTGAGTCTCCACCCCCGACAGAGTCCTCCTCGGTCTCGAGATCACAGTGTCTTTGCCTCAACTCTGGCGCATCTGGGCCCAGAAGATGAGCACCGGCCTGTCCCTCCCCTACGTATTTTTCAATCTTCTCAGTGCCACCGAACGTTTCACAGTCGGGTTCTTAACAGCCGTCAACTCCACCATCGCCGGCGCCGATCCGCCAGGCTTTTTCGCCCACAATCCGAGAACAATAGGGGACTGTCTGAATCTGGTGCAGCTGGGTTTCGATTGGGTCCTGCTCTAGCTCCTGTAAGATCAATCCTCTTTTCCAAGCGGCCCGCAGACTCCGGGCTCCTCCGAATCGAACCCCAAGATGAACACTAACCGAGAATGGCCCAAGCTTCATTCTATGTCTCACCTATTCCCCTCCCCACTATCCCTTCCCAGTCAGGCACGCATTCTCATCGCCGTCCTGTACGCGGCATTCACCCTCATCTCCGTCATCCCGGTTCTCATAGACGCCCTCTTCCCCTCCATGTTCCATGAACCTGATGAACGTCAAATCGACTTCGGCGTGGCGATATTTGCGGGGTTCCATTTCTACCTCCTCAATCCCATAGCCATTCTTCTTAGTATGTGCTCAATAATTCCCCAAGCCATTCAACTCCGCTCGCTGTCGCTGGATTGGGGCGTGGTAAGGGTCCGGGACTGGACTCTTCAAGCGGTAGTATTAGCGATGCTAGCTGTGTCATGGCTGTTCCGAGTGAGATTCGCGAGCAGGGAGGATAATGTCCTGACGCCGTTCCGGTCCATTGCTTGGTTTGTCCGGGTGGGTTGGCCAGCCGGAGGCACGGGGATGTTTGCAGTAGTTCAGGGGGGCTTAGCTGTCTTGGGGCTGTTGGGGAGAAGGAGAGTAGTTGGTGGTGGTGAGGGAGTGAGAGTAAGCGAGGGAGAAACAAATCCGCTTCTGGGAGGGACGAGGCATGCTGTTCCGGAGCACGCCTAGACCTTCTTCTATTTTGTTTTACCTTTTCCTGTCGGTTCCCTTTTTTGGTAACTCGGTGGGAGTCCCACTTGAGCTTCCTGGTTAGTGCATAACGGCCAAGTCCGAAAATATATTGCCCTAATACGCTGTGTATCACTTGCAGGAAACGCTAAGGTACACAGACAATCACAAAGACCCTGGCCATCACCGCTCGCCCCACCATGTCCGCGGTAAGCCACCAAGCTAGTTTCTCTATGAATTCCTGTGGTGAAATGGACTATGGCGATCAAAATGACCATGACCGGAGCTGCCATAATGACCCACAGCCCGCTTGTGTGCGGCCTAAGGCAAATCACGTCTGTCAGCTGCGAATCTAAATTGCCGCCCTGGGAGGGGTACAAGAAAAGGGGGTAAAGGGAAGGAGGTAGTCGTACAGAGGCACTCGGAAAGACTGCAATGGCGCTTCTGGAGACACCAGAATGACTGAACATAGAAGAGGGCGAGGCAACGGATGCAGGCACTGCACTGCTGGCAGTATTCATCGCCGGGAGATTTCGTGGGGCGGGTGCACATCCGCCATACGCAAACAGCTCATTTGGAGACGTGGCAAGAGCAGTGGCACGATGCAAATCACACTGGGAGGCATATTCCAGGTAGAGCCAGGCTTGACAGTCATCGGTTTCGCTACACCATTGCTCGCAGGCGCCGATGCTGGCAATCTTACGGCTGAACGTAATCGGGGCGTGACTAAAGAGGGCGAACGTCTGGTTGTTGATGTTGGGGATGCATGAGGATGCCGAAGTAACTTCTGCTTGAGTCGTGGTCGCGACAACTAGGATTGCAAGGAAAGACTGGAGCTGCTTAAAGTACATTCTGAAGGGATGAGGGAAAGATTGTGAGCGGCAGGGATCTTGTGAAATTCAGCAATGAAAGAGGATAACAAGTGCTTGGGTGGGATGGAAGTATATTGAAAATAGGAAATTGCGGTTATTTAAACTATCCTAATTTTCTCTGAGCTTTTAGTCGACCAGATCACTCACACATCCGATCAGGGACGCTTCGGCATGCCCGACTGCGCTAGTCAATTTCCGATCTAGTGTCAGGAACATTTATGTTCATCTCTGGAATCCCTGGCGCCACAATGCGATGATTGGATTTGACTCCAGCCATAGTCAAGGGTCTGCCTGTGGATCAAGCTGGAGTTGTTGGTGTTTAGCGAGGTCGTAAGCTTGAGAGGTGCGTCGAGAGTCCATATCTAGGGATGGCATGGGAAGAGATGATGTGGAGGCACGGCCTCCTGATTAGCTGGGCAGCTCACCGCCTCCGATAGCCTTTCTTAAATAATTTAGATGGTAAGAATCTATTCCCTCTTTATACTTCTTAGATTATAAGCCCTTTACTTATGATTTAGTTCTTTTCATTAATATATTATACTTTTTATTAAAATAATAATACAAAATATTATAAATATAGTTTCTTTTTTATTTTAATATTTTTGATAATTTATTATATAAATAATAATAGAAAAAATATAAGTATCGTATAGTAATACTTGGTTTGTTCTTGAGATAATTTTTAATTTTTTTTTTTTAATTTTAGATATACAATACCGATGGGACAAAAAAGCGCCCGTTCGGTAACGTACCTTAACAAAGCGCCCATCCGGTACCGTACCTTAATAGACGAGCACTTTAGGTTAGTACCTGCCTGGGTAGGATATAAAGCCGAACTATACCAGAAGATTCCAGAATCCATATTCTATATATTTGTAATATTTAAAAGACTTCTATTCCCGGTCTTTTTATTTTAGATTTACTGTATAAATTGCCAGCTATTTATATAAAAAATATTTACAGTTTAAGTTTATATTAGACAGCTGAAATACTAAGTTCTTAAAAAATATTAATTAATAATAATATTAGATCTGAATCTAGTTGCTTTATATTCTTTTATTTTTTATATACTAACTAAGCAGTTATACCGAAGCTTTATCGAGTATCTAGAAAAAGAACTATTATTATTCTGCTGGTAAAAATATAGTCTATTCTTAAAGTATGCAACAAACTGATGGGTGAGCCACAAAAGTCACCGACTAATAAATACAGTAAATAAGGCTTCTGCTTTATAGCTGGCTAGGTTAGTACTTAAAAGACTGTATCTCCAAATTAGATTACTTTTATATATTCTAATTATTGCTAGACCGTTGACCATAATCTTACCGGTTGGTCTTTTTAAATTCCCTTTCTATTATCTACTGTCTATCTGCTGTACTATACAGTTATTAGTCTTAAAGTATAGAATACTTTTTTAAGTTTTATAATTCCCGAGAATCCAGTAATATTTATTACTTCTTATATACTAACAGAAGAAGCATAATTCTTTATTATAAAAATAGTACAGTTACTTGTCGGATATATTTAGAGTGGCTAACGGCCAGGTCAGGTCAGGTTAATTAGAATTTTTATACCTGACCGCCAGGTTATAGCCAGGTTAAGAAAATTTTTATATCTAACCGCGGTATAGCTAAAAAACGGGTAATTAATTATTTTAACTATTTTTAATATTAAGATTCTTTTACTATATCTATTTAGGCTCTAATATAATTAAAATATATCTAGATTAAGCGGTTATTAATCTGACTATTTTAATTATTATCTAAAAATATATAGAAACGAGTTTTTTAAATTAAAAAATAATAATTAAAAAAAGTATTAATATCTTTTCTATCTTTATCTAAAAAAATTAATTAAAAAATTCTAATAATATTAATAAAATTCAGCTTTTTATAAAACTGTTACTTTTATAATAAGAAATATATATAAATATATATAATTATTACTTAGTTTAAACTATATATTTTAGTTATATTATATAATAACTAAAAAACTATATATTTATTACTAGTTAGACTATTAAAAATAAATATATTATTTTTATTTTATTATTCTTTTTTTTACTTCAGCTTAAATAGTCTATTATATTCTTATTTTTTATTTAAAAAAGCTAAATTATCTGTATTATAAATTAAACTTAAAAAAAAACCTGCTGTTAAATTGCGGGCTGGCAGATACAGATAATAATAAATAAAATAATAAAATAAATAATAAACTAGTAGTATTTTAATAACTTATTTTTTTATTTTTAACTAGCTACTTAATTAGATTATTTTTAGATTTATAAATAAGATATAGCTTAAAGAATTATAAAAAAATTTAAAAATAAAAAAATTTTTAAATAGATTTAGAATTATATAATAAATAGTTAGAGGCAGCAGATTTAGTAGATTAAATAAATTAAATAAATTAAGCAGATTAAGCAGATTAAATAAATTAAATAAATTAAATAAATTAAGCAAGTTAAATAAATCGAATAAATTAAATAGATTAAATAAATTAAATAAATTAAATAGATTAAATAAATTAAGCAGATAAGTCGGAAAAATTAAAACTATATTATAATATTTATATAATACTATTTATATAATCTTTCTCGGCAACTATACTTTCTAATAATTATCTAATTAAATATTAGATATTATATTTTTTAAAAAGTTTTATAAAAGCCTTTTTTAGATTTTTTTATTAATATAAAAATAATCTAACTAATCTAATTAATCTAATTTTTATAACTCTAGACTTAAGATATAATTTTCTGTTTATTAGATTTTTTAAAATAAATAAGATACAGCAGGCGCTTTAATTATATTTAAAATATAATAGATTATATTTATATAAAAATATATTTTAAAATAAAATAAACTATTTTTATAAAATTTTCTATTTTTATCTTTCTATATCTATTATTTATAAAGTAGTCTTAGAATTATAAGTTAATTATAGTTATCTAGCTTATTTTTAAAGAATATTATCAAGTTTTCTTTTTCTATTTTTTAGATTTTTATAAACTATAATAATATTTTAACTAAAATAAACTTTTTAAACTAGATTTTTTTTTAAATCTTTAGATTACGCGCGTCGCGAAAAATCAAAAGATTATTTTATATTTAACTTATAAAAAAAGCTTTCTATTTTTTAAAATTAATAGTAGAAGATAATCTTTTTTAAAATCTATATATAAGCTTAAAAACCGCTATTTTATTTTAGTTAAAAAAAGATATTAATAATATAAAATAATTTTTAAAAAAATATATTATTTTTTAATAAAATCTCTTATATCTACTATACTATATATGTTTATATTTTATAATACCCGGGAATTAAAAATTTAGAAACTAGTTCTATAAGCTACTATTTTTATAAAAATTATAAAAAAAAATATTATTAATAATATCTAAGTAAATAATTAGTTAGATACTAAATAAAAAGCTATTCTAAATATTTACTTATTTTTTAAAAATAAATCTTTTTTAATTATTACTTTTTTTAGGCCTCTGCAGCCTATAATAAAAAAATTTTTTAGACTTAAATTTTATATTTTATAATTATTTATCGCCTATTATTCCGAACTATTAAATATATTTAATTTAAATAAATAATTAATCTTACAGTTTTATTTTTTTACTAAAAATTAAATTCTTCTAATAAAATACAGATTAAAGAATATTTTTTAAAATTATTAAAAAATATATATATACAGCTGTTATTAAAATTTTTAAATATTAAACAAATATTAATTATAGTAAACTACTAAACTAGTTCTAATTAGAGTGGCTAACAGCCAGGTCAGGTTAGGTTAATTAGAATTTTTATACCTGACCGCCAGGTTATAACTAGATTAAGAAAATTTTTATATCTAATTATAGTATAGCTAAAAAATAGGCGGTTAATTATTTTAACTATTCTTAATACTAAGATTTTTTTATTATATCTATTTAGACTTTAATACGGTTAAGATATATCTAGATTAAGCAGTTATTAATCTAATTATCTTAACTATTATTTAAAAGTATATAGAAATAAGCTTTTTAAATTAGAAAATAATAATTAAAAAAAATATTAGTATCTTTTTTATCTTTATCTAAAAGAATTAATCAGAAAATCTTAGTAATATTAATAAAATTTAGTTTTTTATAAAACTATTGCTTTTATAATAAAAAATATATATAAATATATATAACTACAGCTCGGTTTAGATTATATATTTTAGTTATATTATATAATAGCCGAAAAACTATATATTTATTACTAGTTAGATTACTAAAAATAAATATATTATTTTTGTTTTATTATTCTTTTTTTTATTTTAGCTTAGATAGTCTATTATATTCTTATTTTTTATCTAAAAGAGCTGAATTATTTATATTATAAATTAAATTTAAAAAAAAACCCGCTGTTAAGTTACAGACTGGTAAATATAAGTAATAGTAAATAAAATAATAAAATAAATAACAGACTGATAATATTTTAATAACTTATTTTTTTATTTTTAACTAGCTACTTAGTCAGATTATTTTTAAGTTTATAAATAAGATGTAGCTTAAAAAGCTATAAAAAGATTTAGAAATAAAAAGATTTTTAAATAGATTTAGAGTTATATAATAAGCGGTTAAAAACAGTAGATTTAGTAGATTAAATAGATTAAATAAATTAAGTAGATTAAATAGATTAAATAAATTAAATAAATTAAGCAGATTAAGCAAGTCAAATAGATCAAATAAATTAAATAGATTAAATAAATTAAGTAGATTAAATAAATTAAACAGATTAAGTAAATAAATTAAAAGAATTAGAATTATATTATAATATTTATATAATACTATTTATATAGTTTTTCTTGGTAACTATATTTTCTAATAATTATCTAATTAAATACTAGATATTATATTTTTTAGAGGATTTTATAAAAGCCTTTTCTAGATCTTTTTTATTAATATAAGAATAATCTGACTGATCTGATTAATCTGATTTTTATAACTTTAAACTTAAGATATAATTTTCTACTTATTAAATTTTTTAAAATAAATAAAATACAGCAGGTGTTTTAGCTGTATTTAAAATATAATAAATTATATT